ATATGAGGGAGGCTCGTCTGAGTAGATTCGGAAACATGGGAGTTTCTTAATCGTATAACGATAATCATAAATTGCAAGACATACAATAACCTGTGACAGCGAGGCAATGCATGGATTTGGCAGTTTCCATCAATAGTAAAGGAAAGTCGACAGATTGCGGCAACGCGTCGAATATTTCATAGGTTGCACGAAGAATAAGTGAAGGTTTTTGTAAAACTGCGATTTCCCTCTTCTTTGCTGAAAGTTACGTTGACCCTCCATCGCTATGAAGAAAAGCGACAACAAGGAAGACGAGATGGCTATACTAACTGAATTATCCCTTATAATTTATGAAACCTGTAAATCTACTTGTAGACCAAGAGCTGGCTGATATCACGATTACGTAAACATCACAGGCTGCCTCCTTTTTCGTCTCCCACCGTACTTCTTTTAGGAGAAGCAAATATGTAGGAAAACACGATCTTTGCCAAGCTGTTCATCTCAACACTGTCGTCGATAACGAAGTCATCACAAAAATGAAAAGGTCTTTTATGTGTAAATCTCATCAACCATTTCCATGGTCGAAGAAATAGTCGGTTTTAAGAAAGTGCCAGTGAAACACGATCGAAGCGGCTTAGAGATGTTTATTATTATTATTATTATTATTATATACTATTTGGCTTGTCGTCCGTAAATGTTTCTGAATGGGTTTTTATGATGAAGAATTTACTGCTACGCGCTCGATTCACACAACGATGAATAAAGCACAGGTTATAAAAGCGCTTGGATCTTTCAGCGCTAGAGTATATCTTCTCTTTTAGACAACAGCTGTACTGTACAAGGCGTCTATTAGCCATTCCATTTGAATGCAAAAAAGATGCATGAGAAAACTATTGGAAATATGGGACTACGTAGCTAGAATATGACGGCGACCTAAAGGAAATCGGAGTACTGATAACAGCACGAGTAACATTTGTGTTCTATGACTATTATTAGCTGAAGTGATCGTGTTGTAACCCGGGAAATCTTTCCCTCACAACCGAGAACGACAAAGTTTGATTTTGAAAGGTCTTAGTTTGCGATATTCGAATAGCAGTAGTCGATAAGTAGATGGAATCTCATTCATATGCGATTGTTAGACAGGCTATGTGTTCAAGTTGATGAAAAAATCATAAATCACGGAGGATCTACGAGTCGGCTGCGTGGATGAACAATGAGTCCTCCACTCCCGGCCACTCTGGAACAGATATGACAAGAAGTGGGCGGGCAGAATGCGCAAGGGGTGCAAAGAGATTTGTTGAAACGGAGCACGTACTCTCTGCACAATTTTTTAGAAGTGTTCTATAAACTTTCGCCAGATTCTAGACACTAAATACGTGCATACATCAGAATTTTTTAACTGTGCAAATTTTTGCTCTCAACAGATCTCATAGAAATGCTCCGCCACATTAAGAATTCATTTTGGAAAAAATTTACAATTCATTTTGAAATCTTGAATGACCTCACAAAGCCCAAAATATAGTGCGAACGCGATTTCCATTTGATTGATAATTCACTCCTTAGACAAAACTTTTCTTTCATGGAGTCTTGAAAGTCGTACTAGGCTTGCCCAGCTCATCACCACCTGCTGGCTCATGACTTTATTGTTGCCAGAATGGCTTTGATTCCTGGCCCTGGTTCTTTCCTGTTCGCTGATCTTGAAATGTCAAACGCGTTTTCAACTTGAGATCCTTTAATGAATTTTTCACCACACATCCCACCTCGGCACTCGAGAACACCTATGTCAACAACGGTAAAGCCATAAACTTTTGTTGTGGAATTTATATCATTGATTGAAAACAAGAAAAGGAATGGGAGACCAACATTAAGTAAATGCTCAGTGACGGACATCAGTGGGAAAGAACTAATGAACAAAAAAAACGTACTCATTATAAAACGGGACATTTCATTGGACTGAGCTTAACTTTATTTCCTGAATTTATTATTCAAAGCATACACTTTTTATGTCGGAGAGAGATACAAAAGGCTGTGGAACACCTCTTATAAAATCAAAGAAGCCCATGAAAATTTTGAAAACTTTCACGGTTTTAATCCTTCTTTAGCCACAAGATTGCAGTTGTCAAGTGATCCACGTAGGAGCAATTCTGGAACAACAGCCTATCGAATTTGTTCTGAGCGACCACGGATTGCTTCCGAACAACGGTCATTACGGCGAATCGATCTCACCACGGGGGCATTGCGTCTTCGACGTTGAGATGACATCATAAAACCATAGCTGGTCCTCCAACGAAAACTGGTGAGATTGCTAGAGACTGTCAAGAATATCGGCCGGAATTCATATTCTTCGTGCAAATCGTTGAGATACTACATTGTCATGCTTTAGAATTACTATGACTTGAGGTATTTTCTTGAATTAAAATCTTGGTACAAAGGCACATTTGGAAATATGAAACTAGAAAAGATAATGTTTAACGTTTTGTTTTCTGCCTTCTATAATTTTCATGGCAGGTTACTAAGCGAAATACAACCACAACGTTGCTGAGATATTTGCCGTTCCCCACCATAGACACCTGCGGTCCAGAGTTTTGCAAATATCTTGTGATTTCAACTACAGCCATAGCTTAAATGGGTTCTATGCCGATTTGCGCTCCCCAGATCAACCACGCTGACGGGTGATTGCTGTGGAAAAAAGATCGATAGAAATAGCTGAGAGACAGGCGAAACGAAGGCCCAACATGGTGTGGTGGTGAACGCGTTACTCCCCGGAAAGGACAATAGCGCGTTCGTTCCCCACCATAGACACCTGCGGTCCAGAGTTTTGCAAATATCTCGGCAACGTTCTAGAGAAGATACTTATGTGCGAAGCCACTGTCAGCGTTAAAGGCAGTCCGATGAACTTCCACCGCTCTAGGCTTTCCATCATTTTTTTTCATTTCTCAGCAAATCGTACCACTACTTCTACAAGATGGACTGACGGCGATTATTTCTTCTAAACTGTCCCATTGGATGCAGTTCTTTTGCAACAAACGTGATAGTTAAAAATTTATTGAACGATCGCCTCACTGCGCCTTAAAGTGTGTTGGGGTTTTAGAGCACTGCAGTCAATGAACACTTTTTCATTTTGAATACGTAGACTAAGGAGCCAAGCAGAAAGGCTCGTGCCACTTCAGCAAAGCCCTTAAGCTCAGAGTAAGCCAACGAGTGTGAGAAGAAGAAGCCGTCGTGGGGAAAACAATAATACGAGGGAAAAGCTATGTGGGTTCCACAAAGCTCAGCGATGACGCCGAGATACGAGTGAATCTTGACAATGTAGAAAACTTCGTTAACCATTAAAATTTTGGCCATATAGATACTGTGAAGATCAACATGACACTTGAAGTTGAATGGTTCGATGGTAATTCCCACTACCGACTTTCTATTAACACTTTGTATGGCTGGGTAGATTTCAATCAACCTGACCTTTCCCTGTTGAGGAAGGTGAGGTCCGCCTAAGCGTCAACTTTATCGTAATAAAGAATAAAATGAAACATCTTGTCTGCTCAACAAGGGCATGAAGGATTTGAATAGTACTTGAAAGTTACTTGAAGATTTTTACGCCCAGGATGTAAAACTGGTACTAATGTATTATAACAAGAACATCGTCTATTTTCTCAAACTTTTTGGATTGAAGTATTATGGTTTTTCATAAAAAGCTGTCTATATGCAAATTACACAAACCCATGAACGAGCTGATTAGCGCCATCAGGGTAATGAGCTGCGTAGTGCACTTGAGTGGAAATCCGTATGGGTTAGTATGACATAGTCGCTTCGTCTTTGGTAGATTGAACCTAAAATTGCTGATATCCAGTGTTATTGTGGGCGGATGAAGAGTTTCCCTTGTCAAGATAACGACAATGAGAGTATTAATCGCTAGTGCTGTTGAAGATGTGGACGAATTGCTAGCTGACACAACTCTCCAGAGACTATAAAACCTATCTGTTTCTCCATCTCCAGATTTTTTTTCTCAATTATTGATAAGAAGTTTCCGATCCCACCGAACACTGCCATTAGATTAGAGAATTTCATTAATCCTGACGTATTCAGAAACACTTCACGGTTTCTTCAAAGCAAGTGAAATGGATAAAAGATTTATCGAAACGTTAAAAGAACTTTCACGATCAACCAAATCAAATCGTTATTGTGTATGACTGTATACGGATAATGGACAAAGCTCTCCGCGTTGATCTATCACTGAGGGATGCGCCGTGCATTCTACTTCATTAAGCATCGTTCGAAGGTGATTGGATGCATATCTGGCGTTTACAAGGACTCGCGATGGCCTGCCAATGTATCGAGCCAGTGCTGCTATCCTCCCAGACAAGTGTGCTAGCAATTTGCCGACCACGGAGGGATGGAAGGCTTGGAGAGCCACGAGTGTGGGGACCAATTCCACGTGTGTGTTGCAGTGGCACCTCTAACCACTGCGCAACGAGCGCCCTTCATGCTTGCAAAATCTGCACATAGATAGCGAAACGTAAATGGGCCAATAATATAATGAGGGCGAAATCGTCGAAACATTAGCCATCGAACAACAGCAAAAACAACAACAACAGCAGCAACAGCAACAGCAACAACAGCGACAACGACAACTTATGCTTTCCTCGCATCAGCTCAATAAGGGTAGTTTGTAAAAACGTATACATAGATAGTCGCCAGATAGGCGAAAAAGCTGTGTAGTGGACTCCACGAGAATACAGGTGTCCCCAGGACGGTCACCAACATGTTGAGAGGGCGTATTCGTAACAAAAGTCAAACAGCTGTATTCATAACTGCAGTTCATATCACGGTATTAGTCTTGCATCCGCCACCATATTCGAAACGATTCACCGTCATAGCAGAGGATTCGAGGGAAACCACTGCGCCACATGCGCCCTTGGCATGACTGTATACTTTTTTTGATTTAGTTGTTCTTCACATTTGTTCGATGAGAAAGGCAGAAATTTGGATTTTATCAAGTAATAAGAAATTGAGGATTTTTTGGAATGGCGGTTGATCAACAATTGCACGAAGATGTCACATTCAATGTGGTGACTTACAAACATCAAGCTTCTTAGCTCGATTTCCTGCCTACCAAGCGTTCTTGCAGTTAATCTTCTTGTGAACCTCAAGATTCTTCTCCATTTCGCTTAGCATCGTCACTTCACAACGATGGAAGTGTCTGAGGGTTCATGTTCACTTATTTGAGAGCCTGGATGATTTCTCTCAGATTAACAAGAGCAGAACACAGTATACGGTTTTTCCACTACTTTTTTTTGATTTCGGTAATTTTTTATTTCAATTGTTTATTTACTTATTTTAAGTAGCATGACGTCTACAAGAACGACCACATGTTCCAGTTGTTTCATGTTTCCCTCGAGAGCATCACTCACAGCATTGGTATGTTTTGAGTGCGATGATATCCACATGCATCGTTCTGGTTCCATAAATCGTTTCCAGCTTCGAAGACAACTCACAGATGCTAGAAAAACTTTCTCGTTGTCATGAGTGGTGATGACTCATCTTCGATATGTATACTCTTAGATCTCCAAGACAAAATATGTGCGAAACGTTGACCTGCACACATTACTTTCTTCAATTTTTTATGATGCATTTACGCACCAGAAGATATCGTTTAGCCTCTTTATTAGTGCTACTTAGGAGTATAATTATAGCTGAAAGGTCAATCCATGTCTATAATGCATAGCAGTCGGAAGACGGATGAGTCGAAAGATGAGCGCGGAGTTTTGTTCTCTCAGCGGATGATTATGGCCTAAGAGGACTCATGCTCATCTCATTTTAAGCAATTTTCCTTTCGTGAATTCCTTCACGATCACTGAACATTTCGTATGTGTTCTCCGTAATCAAATAGCTATTCGCTGGTTTCCCAAATGCTTTTCATGGTGAATCGACATGTTTCATGCGATGGAATAAGTGATAACAGAGGCATATGAAACTAGATTTCGACGAGCGTAATGACGTTCCGACACCTTGGAAAAAGCATTGAATAAGGCTAGGGCACAGTGAAGCTTAGTGACATTCTATTTCTTCCTTATCTAATATTAGCAGTCATTTCCCACCACTCTTTCCATTCAATTCGTTTCTTCGCATTCAACATCCATAGTGGTTTGCGAATATTTCACGTTTTATTTCAGCTGCTGCCTGAAGGTTTCGTCTTCAATCAATTCTCCTTGCAATCTTGAAGATAGTCCTGCTAAACCGTTCCCATACAGCCTGGAGGAACGCGTTAGGGCGAGGATCGAACTAGTGCCTCTTGCTTCGTGATCGACACTACCACTAACCACTGTGCTATCCTGTCACTGTTTAGTGATTTAGGAATATAAAGCATGAATACCAGTCAAATATTTAAAAGTAAAGAGATACAGTACGTTATGTGATAAATTCAAGCACAGCAAGCGTTGACCAACGCTAACTTTTGTTGATTGCGATGTATTGGATACCCATTAAACGTTCAACAACGGCAATTTTAACTATTACAGTACACATTAATGAAGTGGTAGTGGAACGTTTGCTTGAAAGAATCTTTCAATCCTAGCTTGAAAAGAACGCGACCCTTCTTTGACGCGGCTCCAAACGCATGTTCTATTCGTTTCGCAAAATATTAGGAAATGATTTCGTATAAGAGCAGAATTCCCTTCAACCTGAATGATTATTCATTATGTATTTCTTCACTGACAATCCAACACAAGCTTTGTAAAAAAAAGCTTTATCCGGCTAACTTTCAGCGCCTTGTCAGAGCAGGATTGATCCGAGTCGATTGTCCACAACTCTTCATTCTTCCGATGTGGGTTTTTATGATCGCAGCGATTCGAATTCAACAGAGCATGGCTCAAATGGGGTAACGTCACTCGGCAGCGCTCTTTTATACAGAAAGTTGACAATTGCTTGTGTTTTCCCGAACAATCTATCCTGTAGCAGCCGGTATCATTATCAGCTATTCCAGAATGAAGGAGAAGTAAAAGAGAGCTGCCGAAGGAGATTCCTTCATTCGAGCAGCGCTTCACCGGATTCTACTCGATGCGATCACGAAGACCTACATCGGGAGGAAGAACAACTGTGGACAATCGACTTGGATCCGGATTAGCCAGAAGTGAAAGTGCTGAAGAATTAGTCCAATGAAGTTCTTAGTCATCCTCGTGTTAGCTCGCCAATGAAGGAATGCGCACAAAGCTAAAATTTATTATATCTTTCTTATGAGCTAACTTTTTAACGATAACTACACGCTAACAAATTCTGTCTCGTAACCGATCCATCTCGATGTCAATGCCGATCTGCATATTTCATTCAAATCCGATCAGGCCGTTGTCGATAGTAAGCACTATGTCGGAGCGTGCGGTCATCGTTGAGCAACCGGCAGTATAGGAGCTGGTGAGTGGTTCGCAATGAACACTACTTTGGTGGCCATTGCATTCGTGATATCAGCTGATTTTCAGACCGAAGATATTCTTGTCTCAGAGACCACATGGACTTCAGACGTCGCTTATTAGATAAAATAAGAAGCATGGACCATGTCAGATCAGCAATGGATAGTTTGAAATTTTGACGACGCTTTTTTTGAAAGCTATCAAGATTATGATTGTTAATCTTCCCGCTTATTACGTGATTTGATGGGCGCGTGTGGCGCAGTGGTTTGAGGGACCCTGCAAAACGCGCGTGGAATCGATCCCAGCGCCCATGGTCCACCAAGTCTTCCATCCCTCCGGGGTCGGCAAATTTCTACCAGGCTTGTCTGAGAGGATAGCAGCACTGGCTCGATACAACTGCAGTAGGCCACTGCGGGTCATTGTGAAGGCTTGATATGCACCCAGTTACCTTCAACGATGCTTAATGAAGTCGAATGCTTGGCACACACCTCTCATTGTTCAACGCCGGGAGCTTTATTCTTTATCCTTTATCCCGTTTATGTATTCCTTTTAAAAGTAAGTGCACCATAAAATTGCTGATTTTGATGCATTTCTGATCTCCAAATGAAAAACTTTGTTCAGCAGAAAAAGCAATGATTAATCCAGCCTTCTTTCTTAACCAAATTGTCTTTGATAATCTTGTGTTCCAAGAAAAAAACATTGGCTATACACTTCTTACAGCAACGAATAAAGAAAACTCTTTCTTCGTCGATGAAGTCTTCTTTCTTCTGTATTCTGAACCTAAAACACTGAAAAAATCGGTGATCCTGAGAAAATGTAGTCAATCTGATTCCTGCATCTTTGCTCCCCTAAAAGCTTCCATTAGCAAAGCCATCAGCAGACAGATGCCAATACAAGGACAGATGGTGCTGTTAATCCATCAAAGCTGGTGTCCTTCAATTTTATGGTAAGGGAAAACTAATCCTTTAAGGACACCAAGTTATCCTCATTCGATGGATTTAGTTCATGTGAAAAAATTCGCTGAATCGTTCTCCGATTACAGAGAACATCTCGTACGTACACCTTACCTGTTCAATAAACATGGAGAACAACATGAAGATGGGGCGACAAAGAAAAAGGAGAGAGCATTGGCCGCAGTTGGATATCTCAAAAGAGCCACTAAAGAACCTGTACCACTTGTCACCTGTCGTTTGTTGATGGCCAAGCGACTCAAGCGTGGACCAGCAAATCTTCCATTTTTCACTTAGCGTGCAAGAGTAACCCAGTAAGTTTTGCTCACCCTAGAGACTCGTTGAGGATACAGTGCGCTTGACATTCCGAGAGATCCAGTCTTTACCGGTTGTTGTCCCTCGGTTCTCATTCATACGTATTACGTGTCCGGCCAACTTTATCTTCGACTGTTTAGCATACGGAACGGCATCATTGATTTTTAATCGTTAACGCAGGTCGGAGCTTCGGATCCGTTCCTTTGCTTATGTAAAACAGGATATTCCTAGCATTCTGCTTTCGACTGCGTGTTCAATAACGCTGAGTGATTTTTCATGCCGTTCACGCAGGGACCAGGTTTCTGACGGATATGTTAAAGCAGGAAGTATGGTAGAGTCGAAGAGGTCGGCTTGGAGTCGGATGTTCTTTTTTCTCTTCAATACATCCTTGATGATCTTGAAAGCACCCGAAACTGCTCATTTTCTTCTGCTCAACCATGGAGCTAAGTCGTTCAACATATTGATTTTCAGACCTAGATAGATATAGCTGGAGCATTCGGAGATATTTATTCCACTAGGCGTGAATGGGGCGTGCATAACCAACACCTTCCCCATGAAGATCTAATGTATGGTGTTACGAGAACGATGTCATCAGTAAAAAGAAGATGGTGCAATTTCCGACCATCGATTTTCACTCTCATATTATCCTATTCCAGTTTTCTCATGGGGTTCTCGAGGGTAGCGGTAAATAATTTTGACGACACGGTGTCGTCTTGCCTAACCCATCGTTTGAGGTCGATGTTAAAATCGTTATTGAATGTTGTCATCTTGGTTGTGGAATTTTTGTACAGCTCACGAAGAACCTTTATGTATTGAGTAGGAGCTCATTGACTATCAAGGGCTTCCATGACTGCTTCTATCTCAGCTGTGTCAAAGGCCTTCCGTAAATCGATGAAAGTGAGGCAGAACGGTCTTTTGTACTCTCGCGGTACTTTAATGAGTTTTGTTATTATGTGGTTTTGGTCCATCGTACTAAATCATTTTCGAAACCCTGCTTGCCCACATGGATGTCCTTCGTCCAGCACTCTGTCAAACCTATTTAGGATGACTCGTGTTGAAAGTTTGTAGATGGCAGACAGCAAACAGATTGGGCGACAGTTGCCGATGTCGTGGAGGTCACTCTTCCCTAACAACGCCGTGTTGCTGGTTCTTCACGGACCAGTAGTCCTGTATTCGGATAGGTAACGTTTGCAGAGCCCGCCATTGTGTTTATGATGACTGGCTGAAGGTTCTTCAGATGTTCAGATCTTATAAATAAAGGACAGGACCCGAAAATCCGCGCTCATCTGTTCGACTCACGTGTCATCACAACTCGCTGTTACGTAGTAGAGACGTTGGCTAATACTTCAGTCACATTCAGAATACTGCATACTACTCACAGAACGCTTGAACGATTTGTTTCGAAGTATAAACACAATAGACAATAGCAATAATAATATAGCAATATAACACAATATCAATACAGCAATAGCAATAGCATATATCGCACAATATCTGGCCTTATGCGTAGCTCCGATCTCCGAAATCTATCTCATCTTCGAAATCGAAGAGAACACGCATCGAAACAGTAACATAGATGGGCTGGTAACATAGTAAGAAAAACAGACCACAGATGGATTTAATTAAATGCATAGTGGACTCCACAAAGACGCAGGCGTTCCTTGAGACTACCAGCTAAACGCTGAGCTCGCAGAATGAGAGTCGTTTCAGGCTCGAATCGCGCCACCTCCATGGACTAAGATTGCTAGGCAAGGGAACGTTTGGAAAATATGCTAATGTACTGAGGTCTGCAAGACTCGTGAAGAAAGGCCGTCCAAGTGTCCAAGTAAATAAGTCAGTAAATAGACATATGAAGTATTTGTGTCGCTATCATTTGAAAGCGAGGAAGTCACCAAATAGCTGACTTCTAGCCATCTGTATCATCTTTTTTTTCTTTGAAAAAGTAAGCAGTCAGTAGCATGGAAGAAAAGATTTGAAGAAGTCAATGGACTTCGCCTGCTCGAAGAACACGAAGAGGACCACATTTTTCTATGCAACCCAAGACTACCTCTCAGGCACGACGATGTTCTAAACATCTATCAAAAAACTTTAACTATTTCTAAAAATTTCCATATCGGTGCTTACATCATTCAAATTGTCGAGTTTTATATACACATGACTGAAAGGTTGTGTGCAGGATGGTAGTCAGTGACGCCCAGTTCACATTGATTCCATCTCTGTTTCAATCCCAAACTCCAGGCTTCCTACGGACCCGGCAGGTTTGTGCCACACTTGCCACCTATCCGGGGTTAGAAAATTGGCACCAGTCCTATCTGGGAAGATAGTAGCACTGACTAGATACATCGGCAGGCAACCGTGAATGATTGCATGGGCTAAATATCCATTCGACGATCACCGTTGACGATGTTTGGTAAAGCGAAAGCATGGCGTATCAGTCAGAGACTGTTTAACACCTGTCTTTATCTTAACTCTTTTATTTACTGCCTTTTTCTTCTTAATGGCAGGTTATGTTTCGAATTATAACTTGTATGAAATGCTGAGATATTTGCAAAACTCCGGACCACAGGTGTATGCAGTGGAAAATGAACACACCCCGTTGACGGGTGATTGCTGATGGCAAAAAGATCGATAGAACTAGCTGAGAGACATGCGAAGCCGAGGACCCGGATGGTGTAGTGGTGAAGTGCGCTGCTCCCCGGCAAGGACAACAGCGCGTGTTCGTTCTCCACTGCATACACCTGTGGTCCGCAGTTTTGCAAATATCTCAGCATTACAGTAGTTATGTTTCGCAAAGTACCCTGCCGTCAAAAAGAATGGACAGTAAATAAAAAAGGTTAAGATGCTGAGAGATTTGTAAAACTGCAGACAGGTATCGGCAGCGGAGATCGAACTTACGAAGGACACTTAGCGGATTGTCGAAACAAGTTACTGTCACTGGAATGTCACAAGTCTGAACCGTCAGCAGCCTGCATAAATAGGCATCACCGAGTGAGTATTCCTCATTCGAGAGATGGTCTGCTGAGGAAGACACAACTTGATACGAAGGCGATGACGCCACATCGAGACGAAGAAGAACGGTGGACTATCGACTTGGATCGTCGGCTCTGATGAAGACGAAGACGTCGAAACGTTAGCCGAATAAAACTGCTTATCAATGTTGTGTAAGTTTATCAAAGAAAGAATACATACCTCAGCATCATTGCAGTTCTGTTTCACTTACATCATTCCCTGTCCTAAAAAAAGAATGGGCAGTAAATAGAAAGTGACTACATAATAGGCGCCGTCACGAAACCAACCTCTCAACCACAATTCACCGGCAAATCAGGTAATTTTTCAATATGTGAATCCACTTGCTCTTCGCTATACTTCCACGATTATTTTACTTATATTTTTTACGCTGTGTTTGACGCATTCCTCTCAACGGCTTACCACCGAATCGTAGCTAGGAGATGTTCCTGGGTGCCGGACTGCGATGTACAGCGGAGGAGTCATCTTCTGGCATGGTCTTCCAAGCTGAAAAGGAAACCCGCGTTTCCAGCAAGAAGCCTAGCTAAGAGTAAGCCAATACCAAGACCCACCACCGTCCTGGTATCAAAGTTGCATGGGTGTAAATCTTCCTATAACCCACAAGGGCCGTGACTGCCTTTGGTGATAAAGACCTTTGGCAAACTTTGGCCAGACAGACCTAGGGATTCCAGGAAACCACAATGGCTTAACCAGCAAATCTCCGAAAGGCGGAGATTGTGCTGGTGCTCGCACAATTAATGAGGACGGGCCACTCGAGTATCAAGTAAGCAAGTATTTGATTCATTTACCCGTCCATCTCCGTTGCCGATGTCAGCGACCTATTCCTCTGCGAACACATTGTATTTAATATCGTTGAAAGTGAACACCAAATCTGGCTGGGTACTCATTGTCGTGCAGTCAAATGTGTAAAAGTGATTAAGCGTGTCGTATTTGGCACCGGTCTGATTAACCACTCCGTTGATGATGTTCCTTGGTGCTCCGATCCATGTAATGCCCGTGTCGGAAATGACCTGCATTTCACGTGTTTCACGAAAGTAGAGTTGAAATTTTCTGCTTTTCTCTCAGTTCTTGTGCAGAGATTATGTCCTCTTGGTGACGTATGTTCGGAAAGGACCGGTTAAGAATATTTCATATTGTCGATAGTGAATTGCCAATACGTTTCAGAAGATACTGGTAAATAATTGATTTCCGAACGACAATTGATGGAGTCACCATAGGTGACTAGACTGACGCTGTCGCCTTTTGCGGCATGCGTATTTCAGCACCTGTCAGTGATTTCCATTTTAGGCAGTATTCTCATTCCTCCCAACGGTTTACTACCTCATCGTAGCTAGGAGGTGTTCCTGCATATCCGACTGAGATGTACAGCGAGGATTCATCACCTGGCAGGGTCTCCCAAGTTGAGGAGTCTGGCATTTTCATCAGGAAGCCTAGGTAAGAGTAAACCAATACCAGGATCCACCACCGTCCTGGTATCAAAGTCGCATGGCGGTAAATCTCCCTCTGGTCCACAAGGGCTGCGACTGCGTGTGATGGTGAAGACCTGAGGCGGAGTTTGGCCAGGCTGACCTCTATTCCAAGGAACCACAATGGCTTAACCAGCAAATCTCGGAAAAATGGAGATTATGCCGGGGCCCCCACAACCAGTGAGGACGGGCTATTCAAGTGTCAAGTATACATTAACTACGAACTAATTCTTTAATTTATCTTTTTCTTTCAAAAACGTGGCAAGTCTTGAGTTATAGAAAATGGCAAAATGAGTCGGTGTTTACAACGCAGGGTATAAAATGGAAAGTGAGAATTCTCGTATCGTAGTGAAATGCGTTATCCTATTGATGCTTTATTTAAAATACCGAGTTTTCTTATCTATGCGGCTGGAATTATGTTAGCGATGATTCAGCTTCGTTAGTCAGGTCTTAACCAATCATAATTCTAAACCGGCCACCTACGGGTGGTCTTCGCGTAGTTTTTAATCTGACTTACTGCGTCTTGAAGGCTTCTGTGGTTTCTAACAGGCACGGAAACCCTCAGATTTGAGGAAAAGCAGTGGGAATAAAAAATAATTAACACGGAGTTCGAATCCAGGTATTATTCCACCAAAAGATTTTCAAAGATAAGCAAATTCGTCAATCAAGTCAAATTTTCAAAAGTTTCACCATAAGAAGATGACTGAAAAGTTTGACAAAGAAACTATTTTGTTAGGAACTGAAGTACAAGTGAAAGTGTCATAAACGTAAAAGAAGCCCGAGCTCAAGTATGAGTCATTTCTCCGGCTCAACCCACCTTCTTGTCCATTCACATGGTGAAGAAAGGAGATTCAAGAGTAGATACAATGTTTTGTATAGGTGCAGTCACCTAAAACACCTATTAGCTCTACCACTTAATCTAATAAGCTTCAATCTTGGAATAACTGGATTCACCTCGCCAACAAAAAGGGCTGGCCATGCTAGCCCAAGGACTCCGTCAATAGGCAGGTAACTAAAAACGTCATCGGCTTCAGTGACAAGAAAGAATCCTTGCTGTCTAATCGCTAAACCTACATGATATAAACCGTTACTTTCATAGTTTTATGTGGTTATGGAAAGAAAATATGCCCAGATGCAGAGTAAAAAAATGAAGTATACGGTGTACACCAACAATCAAGTGATAGGTCGTAGATTAGACTCTGACAAGCATTATGAAAGGGATTGAATGGACATTGCACCTACATGACGATTTAGATGACCCTGAAAGGATTGGTGGATTGGTTAGTTCGGAGCGCTGGATCGAAAGCCCAACAAAGTGTTGGCTATGAATGGCCTATGTTCACGACAAATTAGAGAGTACGGTTACAGTTCTATAAAATGTAAAGATTGCAAATACGAAAGCTGTTGAGTTAATAGTCGCAACACAATATTTTCGTGGATTCCTGTTAACCAATTCCAAAGGTTTCGAAACCGGAAAACATTTGACTTCTCGTAAATAATCAGTATCTCCTTATATTAATAAGCTAACACGAGACTCGTAAAAGACTTCGGCGAAGGCTAGCTCCTTGTTCACCTTTAAAAGTCACAATATACCACTGTTGTGCACGGATGACCTGTCAGCTAACGCTATCTCTCACCAGCGCGATCAGCGAGCTCCGTTGTGGCACAGGTTCACATTTAGCTGGGCATCTGAATATGAAATGTAAAACTCTTTGTGGCTATAGGAACCTGCAAGAGACGCGTCCCAGGCTGTACACCCTATTTCGCCACTGCACCTGGAAAATAGAGTTAGGTAACTCGTATTAGCTGAATGATTACAAGCGAAAAAACGACGTCCCTTGCGATACGTCACTACAACATCCTGCTCCATGTCGAGGATAAATTGGTTTCGCCATATTAGTGAATGTCGACGATTTCCTGGTGTTAAATCTCTTTCTAGTGTAATTGGTTCCAGGAAGACCTCTACAAGCGACAAACCGCCATCCGGCGTCAAATACCCAGACATTTGCCATACCGGTGTCCGCCAGCTGAGACATAGTTTGACCTGAAACGGTTTTTACATAGCATAGCAAGGTTTAGTTGGTCAAAATGGATAAGAGTTGCTGACGCAAATAAAGGGCGGAAAAATAATTGTTTGTTCAAGCCGTCTTTTACTCGAATTTGCAACGCCGGCATGTTCAAGTTTCAGTAAAGGAAAAGGTTATTTTAATTTGGCTCAAAAAAGGTTTGAGTAGTAAAAGTAAGAGTACAAACATGATACTTTCTGTGCAATTACTGATATGCCAAAAAATTGCATCCATTCCTAGAACTACATTTCTCTTCTGAGTTAAAGGATAAAGGATAAAGTTCTCAGCATTGATCAATCCCTGAGGGATGTGCCATGCATTCGACTTCATTAAGTATCGTTGAAGGTGAGGAGAGATGATGACGTTGCTCCTCGATGTGACTACATCGTGTTCCTGGGTAGCATCCTCTGGCATTTAGCAGCTGTCTTCCTCTCCACAGGGCTGTTCCAGGGCCCTTAAAATTACATGGAAGTGTTTTCCGCGCTCTTCGAGCGAATGGGGTTCACTGAACGGCTCTGAATGAGTACTGATAGAGTTTGTTGATGCCTGCTCGAGCTTTTCGCTAATAAAAATTTAAAAAAGGATTTTCATGACCAAACTCATGTTAATGAGGTCTCCACCTTTACCCTCCACTGTCAAACAGGGTGAAACTTCTCGTTATAACAAGTAATTTTCGATATCTTAAGATAGCCTTGGCTTTTTTTAATGTCTTGCTTTGTTCGATAACATCACAGCAGATTATGATGTAATTCACCTATCTTTATTAAAGTAAGAGGATTAAAACGTTTTTGCCTAACATGCTGTGATTTTCGAGACTAATAGTTTCCAGGATCGACTTTCTCTTAACCTCGGCATTGGAATATGAATGTGTCGTTTTCTTGTTCAGCAATCGCGAGGTTTTTAAACAGCATACACTTACTTCCATAGAAAAACACAATACAGTACAACGCTAGCTGACGTCTCGGCAGTATGGCTTTCTTCAGAGCCTGGAAGGGTATACTGATATACAATCTACTAGGCCAAACGCTTCAATAACACTTACAAAAGACGAAAAACTCTGGTAATTACATGATCAACAACTTCTCGAAAAACTCACCGGTTTTTACGTGACTTCCAATGAGGAAGTTTAGAACAGCTGATTACAGTCGCATATGGTTGATGACTGCACCATCCCACTTCAAGAAAAGTAAGCGTAACTATAAAACGATGCTTAAAAAGGGCAGGTTTAGAGGAATCGGTAGCTATAGTTAAAATACCACCGGCTACTCTACGTCGTCAATTAGTTCGTAACCGCCTGTACGACCGTCTGTGTGAAACAAATTGCGTAATTTGCCCTTACGGCAGGGACGGTGATTGCATGAGTTCAGGTACGATATACCTGATCTCTTGTAATAATTGCAGAGATGAATATATTGGCGAAACAAGCAGACCTTTGTGTATCCGTATAAAAGAACACCTAGATGGCAAACGAAAACTAAGACGAAGCACCCCACTAGGCACGCATAGGATACAAAAGCATAGCGGAGACGATTTTGAAGTAAAAGTCAATATCCTTGCACAGGAGTCTAAAACACCAGCGCGAAAACTCCTAGAGGCTTTTTGGATCAATGCCAAAAACCCTACAATGAATAGCAGGGACGAATGCCCGGAGGTCATACGCGACCTGATCCCGTACGTTCGCATCGATTTTTGATGTGGGATGGTGCAGTCGTCAACCATATGCGACTATAATCAGCTGTTCTAATCTTCCTCATTGGAAGTCACGAAAAAGCGGTGAGTTTTTCGAGAAGCTGTTGATCATGTAATTACCATAGTTTTTCGTCTTTTGTAAGTGTTATTGAAGCGTTTGGCCTAGTAGATTGTATATCAGTATACCCTTCCAGGCTCTGAAGAAAGCCATACTGCCGAGACGTCAGCTAGCGTTGTACTGTATTGTGTTTTTCTATGGAAGTAAATGTATGCTGTTTAAAAACCTCGCGATTGCTGAACAAGAAAACGACGCATTCATTTTCCAGACTAAACCTACAATACAAGTTGTTACCACCGGACATTGTCATTATATATCCACCATCAGCATCGTGTATAAAAGGGAATCACTGAGTGAGGATGCCTCATTCGAGAAGATGGCGCAATGAGGAAGATCTGGCTCGACACGAAGGCGAAGACGCAACGTCGAAGCGAACAACAAGCATGGACCATCGACTCGGATCACCGGCTCTGAGGAAGACGAAGACGTCGAGACGTTAGCCGAAAATAAATATATTTATCAACCTCGTGCAAGCTTATCAAGAAAGAATACATACTAAACCTACAATTTATTCCTTCGAAATACTTTAAGCGCTTACTGAATACCTATGTAGGAAGAAGACTCCCTCTGAATCCACTTTCGTCATTGTCTTTCCCATTGTGTGTTTAGCCATCTACCTCCTTCAAATGTAGGAGATCATTTGCAAATGAAGCTAATAAAAATATAGCGATTTTTGTTTTGGCTCACCAAGTGCGCCATCGTTGCGGGGTCGGCAAATTGGTACCAGAATTGTCTAGGAGGGTAGCAGCACTGGCTCTATACATCGGTAGGCCACCTCGAGTCATTGTAAAAACCACATATGCATTCAGTCACCTCCAACGATACTTAAACGATACTTAATGAAGTCGAATGCAGGCGCATCTATCAAGGATTGATCAACGCCGAGAGCTTTATCCTTCCTATCCTATCCTTTTGTCCTTTATGCTGCTACTAACTGGTATGAATAGCAAGCTGGCAAATATGTCATTCAATACACACACGGGCTTGGTTCTAACACTAGACCAATCAGGCCTTCCATTCATCGAGGTTTGGAAGTTAATACCAAAGTTGTCTGCAAAGAGCTCGCCGATTCATAAAGTGTAGTGATTGCTTGCTACGAAAACCTAAGAGCGCTCTAGCACTGCTAACCCACAACCCCAGAGAGAATCTACTGGCGTAACATTCAAAGACATTCCTAAAAAAAACCAAAACTCCCAAGCTGAGGCCGAACTTGTTTGTAATTCTGAGAAAGCGTGTGGATAGTGGATTCGAGGAAAGGAAACGAGACAAAGAAGTGCCGTGGTGCAGCTTCTAAAGAAAGGAAATGGATTTTGAAGTACTTCTGAAATCCGCGTCGAATATAGCCGTAACATCTGTCGTCTGGAGCTCTTCGTTTTGTCTTTTGAACATCCGAAATCCTGGAAAATATTTTTGCTGTCAGAATCACCAAAATAAAACAGGCCAAGTATGGAAATAAACAAAGTATTATGTGTGGTATTACGTTTAAATTATGGAATTCGGTTGGGCGAAAATGCAAAGATTATAGGGAAATTCAGCAACAAAACAACGATTAAAAGTTATGGAAACCATTAACCTTTTATTTACTACCTATTCTTTTCCATGGCAGAGTACAAGTACAAGGATGTAGAGATATGAGCAAAACCCGTAAAGTTCACTTACGACTGATAGGAGCCCTCGATTAACTTCACCGTGAGCTCACGTGCTGTTCACTGTATCACCGTTGCCTTGTTTTGCCTCTTCCCAGCAAGTTTACTACACTAACTGTGCCATCAGCGGGCACCCATCAACCGAAATAGTTTTACCAGCACAAATCTACATTGAGTTCGGTTAAGCTGCACTTGCAGTCAAAGTTACAATGCTTAATTTTTATTTACAGCCTTTCCTTTTTTTATCTATTCCTATCCCTGCCTTTCTTCTGAAATCATTCCCGTTGACGGATGATTGCCGATAGAACGGTAGATTAAAAATTGGCTGAAAGGCGCAAAAGGTCTTGTTTGCTACTAAAACAGCAGGAACTCACGGTAAGAGTAGTCCAGGGCTAGAGGCAGAGCTGTGGTACAGAGTTTTGCTAACATGTGAACACCCTAATGGTCATGGAGAGTTTTGAATTGCATTTCATATTCGCGATAATACAGAACGCTATAGCCTGATTTTTCGCCGATATACTGAACACTCTGCTGTGTACATACTACTCTGTAACACTACTGAACACTCGGTAAATAGCCATTTTTAATGGCTACGAAACTGTAGCTCGAGACAGGTGTAGAGGAAAGCACAGGTACCCCAACGATAACCCTAGCGACAATAAGGTCTCGTTTATAATGCCCTTAATTTCAAGTGAAGTGCAGCTATAAAATGCTGTTTAAGAAGGGCCGGTCTAGAAAACTCGGTAACGATAACTGAAATACCACCGAGTAATCTAAGTTGCCAGCTAGTTCGTAACCGCCTCTTCGGCTACAGTCTATCTGATCACTTGTAAAGCGTGAGGGGTCGAATACGTTGGCGAAACGGGTAGACCACTCTACGTACGTATGCAAGAACACCTAGTCGGCAAACGTAAACCAAATTAAGATTTTGAAGTAGGGGTTACGATCCTCGCGCAAGAATCGAGAACACAAGCGCGCAAAACTCTAGAGGCATTCTGGATTAATTCCAAGAATCCGAAAATGAACCGCAGAAGGAATGCCTCATTATCACGCCGTGATATTGGGCAGTATATAAGCCTGTTATTTTGATGAGATGGGCACAATGCGATTCCATGTCAACTCTGTGCGGTTGATCTTCATGTGACATATTTAGTGGAAGACTTATAGAAAGCGGTGAGCGTGCAAAGACTCTGTGCTAAATCTTGGTTTAGCGTTTTCTCTGTTTGCTTATGGGGATGATTGGCAGTTAACCTGACCTTTCCAGGCTCTGAGGAAGGCGAAATCGTCCGAAACGTCAGCTTGTACGTAAATAAAGAAATAAAATAACATCTCGCGTTTGCTGAACAGAAGTAGAAAGAATTATTCAATCAATGCCGAGGCTAATAGGAAGTCGGACGCGGGAGTTACTCTGCCGTTTTTCCAATTTTGGAATATGTTCAGAAATGAACGGTCCCCCAGCGGTTTACCGGCTCATCGTGGCTGGGTCCCTGCAATCCAGTTGGGAACGCTTCTGCCCGGCAATCTC